GATGTGAAAGACTCATTGCCAGTTATCGCAACCACTTGATTGCAGTTGTTGCTGCAAAGCGTGGCACAACCAGTTATTAGATTTAGGGGGCAATTACTTTTTCACGTAGGGCCAGGCAGGTTTGGACAGCTTTTTTCCCCTTAATAAATGAAAACATTTCAAAACTTCATTTTGTATTTACTCGGGTTATCTTTGTGTAATATTAAAAATTGTTTGATGATCTGAATCATTCAAGTGTGACAAATATGCAAAAAAAAAAAAAAAAACAACAACAGGAAGGGGGCAAAAACTTTTTCACACACTGTATGCTAATAATCATATTACTTAGCATAATAATTCTTTATTCTGATTATCATCAATAAACAACTTACTGAACAGTGGTATCTTTTATCAAACTGCTGTTGTCAGACAAGCCTGTGCATTACAGTGATTTTACTACAGTTAAACGGATAGTTCACTCAAAAAATGTTATTTGCATCATCCTTTACTTTTCGTTAAATACCTTATGACTTTCTTTTCTATGAAACATAAAAGATGATATTTTGAATATTTTTATTTGTCCTTTCAGTGGAAGTCAATGTTTTTTTTTACCAGTGTTCCTCAAAATGTGTACATGATTCATGAATAACAGAATAAATGACAGAATTTTTGAGTGAACTATGGTTTTAAGGGGATTTGCACTTCATTTGGTGCTGAGGCTGATATGTACACAAATAATGAGCGGCTTGTGTCCCTACTGCACATTCACTGGATTTGCCTTTCATTTATAATATTTGTCTCCTCAAATCTAAACAAACTGATTATGTTAATTCAGATGTAACAGAATATTTAATTAAAATATTGCATGCAGCAAGCAAAGATGCTCACATCTGAAAGGCGCTGTCTGTTTTGTCCTGTTTGTTTTTGGCTGTGCTTGAATAAATAAAAAAACCCTGAATGTAAAGTCTGTGAAATTGGTCTGGTCATGTTTTGTTTTACTAACAGGGTCACTGAATACTCTCTGGAATCTCTATTCATATCACAAGTCATTATAGCTCATACTGGCACCCAAAGGTCATATTTGCAGTTACTATTGTGTCTGAAAAATGTCTGTCATGCCCAGAAAACCAAAGTCTGTGAACACAGCGTATAAAAGCGTACCTCTCTCTTATCTTTAACGTGCTTCTGCCTGATATGCTTATGAAAGGGAACAAAAAAGTTATTTATTTTACATTTTGAAAGATAGACCTGTGGCAAAAACATCAAGCTATTAAAATGATTTAATAGCTTTTCTAGGCACACCAAAAAGGTAGAACGATGAAAAAAAACATGAAGTTTGATTTAAAACCCATAGATCTCTGGAGACCTTTTAAAAAAGAATTTAGAATGACTGAAAAAAAAAAGTCAAATATTATGGCTGCACGATTAATCGAATGCGATTGTCATGCGCATTTTGTTAAAAAAGCCGGTTCTGTAATCAGCAGGAAACCATCATCACGTGCTTTCAGATGGAGCAGAATCTACTACACATAGTCGTAGTTCACTGACAAGTTACGCAAAAACAAACAAAAATCGCAGACGATTTTATGCGCGATTCTGAAATCGAAGAAATTGTTTGCGATAATGACAGCTGTTTGCATACTACTACACATAGTCGTAGTTCACTAACAAGTTACGCAAAAACAAACAAAAATCGCAAGAAATTGTTTGCGATAATGACAGCTGTTTGCATAGCTTCTCAGTGAACTACGGCTCTGTAAAGTACATGCTGCTCCATCTGAAAATGTGAAAATACCACATTTAATAAAATTTTTACTCCAAACTCACTTCATAAAGTCAGTCGAGTGTTTGAAATAAATCCTTCTGTGAGATGATGTGGCTTCTTACACAGAAAAAGGAACGCAACATATTTCACAGTATTCTAAGCAATTATATTAGTATTTAAAGAATAAAATCTCTCAAACTTTTCAGTTACAGTACATATTTTCTGTTTTTAGTGACAAGAACCATATAAAGACAGAAACTATCAACTATCTAAATTAACTCTTTTTTTATCTCAGATAAAAACACACACAATGCAATATATATAGTATATTAAATATCTTGCTTTGCACTAAGATTCAATAAGTCTTGAAACTGACCACACAAACTTAAACCGATATATCAGACCTGAACACAATACCAACAGAATGCAATTTCTGAAGAGTGAAATCACTAAGTTTTCAGTATGGTCTTTAGCCCGAGGGAACGGTTTTGTTCGCCAGCTTTACACATTGCACTTAATGACAGTGTTTCTCCAGCTGTCATCCAGCCTATCAGGAGTGCTGGAAATGCACTGAAGTTTTACGCAGGCTGATCAGGCAAATGAAGGACAATAAAGATGAGCTTCATTAGGTACACAAAACCCTCACAATTCCAAAGCATGTAATGCCGCAGCAATACCATCTTCTTTATTAAACAAACAAGTAGCCAGCAGAAAAAAAATACCCCACTGTCTCCCTCACCTCTCAATTTTCAAGAAAAATACTGTCCTCCAGCACCACTCTAGAGAATAAATAGAATAGATGATGCAATTTTTTACAGCATTTTATTCCATCGCTACTATGTAATGCATTTTTTTTTAAAAAGAGAGAAAAATAAATAAATAAATTGGCTGTGTTGCTTTTATTTGTTCTTATTTCTTTTCATTTGTATTTATCTATTTGCATTTATTATAAAGATTTTTTTTATCATAAATGAAAATAATATAATTTAATAATATTAATTGAATTCATATAATAATGATTTATAATTAATTAATCATGTAAAAAAGAGAGAAAAATAAATAAATAAATTGGCTGTGTTGCTTTTATTTGTTCTTATTTCTTTTCATTTGTATTTATCTATTTGCATTTATTATAAAGATTTTTTTTTATCATAAATGAAAACAATATAATTTAATAATATTAATTGAATTCATATAATAATGATTTATAATTAATTAATCATGTAATTAATTGATATAGTTGAATATCTGTAAATACATCATTTTTTTACTTTTTAAATAGTACCACTATTTGTAGGGATGGGTATCGTTAAGGTTTTAACGGTATTACTACTCTTCGATTCGGTACTTTAACGGTATTCTTATCGGTACTTTTTGTGTGTTTTATTAATTTCTCCAGTACCGATAGCAGAACCGTTAACGTCAGAGCTTATTGATACTCCGGTCTTTCATAATTTAGCCCCGGGACCGATTAGATACCGAGTTTCGATACCCATCCCTAACTATTTGTTTTATTAGTTTTGGAAATAATTGTAACTTCAAGATAAGAAACAACAAATTATAAGTAATCAATGCAGAAATTATGAAATAAGTTACACACACACACACACAAAAGCAGAAACAGAAAAAATGCTAAATAACTCCTTTATCAAATGGACAAAAATTACTCATTTTTAAAGAAATAATGAAAAATATTGTTTTGTCTCTGAAAAATTAAAATTTCATCATTGGTAAAATGTCCCCCACCATTAGTATGTACAACAAAAAAAGGTAAATTTTGAACCTTGGCCCAGAACAGTGGTGGATGGAGATTCTGGTGTGAAGTATCTTACCCACTGCTTTACACGTCTTGGTAACCAGGTCCATCTCATAACCCTCGTAGCATTCACATTTGTAGTCGCCTTTGAGGTTGATGCATATTTGACTGCAGGCATCAGGGTTCTCGCATTCGTCTATGTCTGGAGAGGACCATCAGAAAAGCATTAGAAACAGAGTAGAGATACACAGGAAACAGAGGCTTTTGTAGCGCAGTGTCCACAGACAAGATAAATTATGCTTGCAAACATCATCTGGGGATTTCTCTACTATCAATTTCAAAGCGATGATGACGCTGAGAGTAAACAAATTATAGATGATCACAATGCACGTACAACAGTGGTCTATTGGGAAAATGAGTACAATATAGTCTACAATATAGCATCAAAATGTTGGTATCTGACATAATACACGTTACCTCCACAAGTCTTCTTGTCAAGGAGCTTGTAGCCTGAGGGACATTCACACTCATAGCCGATCTGACGGTCCTTACATATGTGAGAGCAGCCACCATTGTTGATGGCACATTCATTCAGACCTATGACAGAAAATAAATAACAAGAAAGGTGGTGTCAAAGGTCAGCGTGCCCGGCAGGAATTGGACGGTAAGTGCCCATTGCAACCTGACACCAGCTGACGACAGACTGCTTCTTTCTCATTTTCTAGGTTGAGCTTCAAGACTTTATGAGAAAGTGAAGAGGTGAGTGCCGTCTAACTGAAAGACCTGCCTTAAATGCTTGAAAAAATGCAGTGGGTCATGGGAGGAAACTGCTTGTGTGTGGCACGCTGTGAGAGAGAGTGACAGAATAATATGGCAAAGGTCTCACCAGTATTGTGCTCGATAATTCTCTGAGCAACTAAAACATTTGGGCATTGGCTGATGGCTCCCTCCATTACAGATGACACATACATCACTCTTTTAATGTCATCTCTACAGTATGTCTGCTCTTTCTGACCCTAATAAAAAGCAGCAAAATATTGTCATTACCACAATTACCTCAGCAGAAGAAAAGATGCAACACTCACTCTTATAGTTTTATTGAACTTTATTGGTTTAAAACAAGTAACATTTCAGTCAGTCAAGGCATTCATTTTTTCTTCAAGAGTGAGTGTTGCACCTTTTCTTCAACTGAGATGAACTTTCTACTTGGTTTGAGCATCTCTTTTCAACTTTTATTACAATTACCACAGGAAAGTTGAACCATCTTGTGTCATTAACCCATTTATGACTTTACCACAGATCTACAGTGAATTAACACAAACTGTTCAGCTTGAAACTTTCAAAACATAGTCCACAAATGTCATTCAGACAGCAGTACTTTTATGTTCAGTTACAAACAAATCGTGGCTATCAATGATTATCAATACGGATTATCACATGGGATACATTCACCCATGGCATTCATGTGATGCAGGTTTGAATCTGGCCTGCAACACATCCAAATACCCCTTCCAGTCACCTCTATAGTGCAAATAATAATAATAATAATAAATAATAATAATAATTATTAAGGTTTTTAATTTTAGTTTAAAAAACATTAGTTAATAAATAGTTGCAATTTATTAATTCAGCTTTTATTATCATTCTTATTAAGAAGAATGACTATAACAATAAAGCTGAATAAACACATAAAAACTATTTATAACTCTATAAAATAAATAGAAACTATTTTTTACACAATTTATTTAGCAAGCAAATACTAACACTAATAATAATGTTAATAATAATAATGCAAAATAGTATAAATATAAAGAAATATAAACTATTATTTATTTAATGTATTATTATAAACTATTATTAATGTATGTATTAATTACTATTATTTTGAAAGCCAATAATAATAATAATAGTAACAATATTAACAAGCTGTAAAATGAATGAATGAATTAATAAATAAGAAAGAAAGAAAGAAAAAGTTTGTGGATATCAGTGTGTCTTGGTGTGCATGTGGAACACAAGAGACATATAAACCAAAAAAAAAAGTGGACAGGTGGAGGAAAAAAGACAGCAATAGAAAGGGAGAAAGAGAAGAATAGCTGATGCTAATGCTGAGGAACAGCTGACAGCAGGAGATAGACGGAGGACAGACACACCACAGGAAGTTCAAGTAAAATAAGGGAAAGAAAAGAAAGTAGAATGAAAAGAGACAGGTTGAGAGAAGAGGCAGGACAAACACCTGGACCGTGACTAAGAGAAAGCGAGTGAGACACTCTCCGACAAGCAAGAAACTAACTATTTTCTCCAGGCCACATATGAATCATGTGTAACAAGTAAAGGATGCACTAGTGAATATGGTAGAAGCGTAATCCCTGGCACCAGTCCTAGTGATTTAGCATGCGAAGCTGCAGTGGCCCACTTGGAGCCGGTCCAGAGTGCACTGGGCTCAGAGGGGGGCGTCTGCCGTTCGTCAGGTGCCTGCACTAATCTCATCTGCTGAGTGGAGCGACCCGCAAGGAAATTAACACCATCCTGAAGAGCCACTGTGGGACCATGTATTTTACATTAAGGACTGATACAAGAGTGAACATAACCAGGAGGACAGGAAGAAAGAGAGAGGGAGAGTTGAGCAAGAAGCTGGCATTTCCTAAATACCCTCTCGATCAAATTAACATACACCTGCAAGGTGTTGGAAAACAATCCGAACATTTAGTTAGTAATGAATTTTTCTTATAAAGTTGAAGTGTGCAATATCTATGCAACAAGTGATGCCACATGTATCTGTTCGTGAGCGCCGCAATGTTGTGGTTTTATGTGACAGAAGCAACTCTGGGCATGAGACTAAAAGCGCAAATTCTAGTGGTTGGCCATTTTTTCTTTGCAGTGTGACGGAAAAGATTAGACCAACTATCTATAAAAAACCTGCCACATTGATGCCATGCGAATGTTCACTTCGGTCTGAGCAGACGCATTAACCTCTTAAGACCCGAGAAAAGATTTTTAGGAAAAAAATAGTTTTTTTCATGTCTTTACATTGTTTAGAGCATAAAAAAAATATGAGAACATGTATGAAATCAACATCCTGTTTCGTAACAGAAAGTCATATTTTGATTTGAAACCCTATAACATTTTCCTGAGATGTTGATTTATGACAGACAGTTGAAAAATCAGACAGATTTAAATGATAATTACAAAATATTATCATATTTCCATAAGAGTGCCACTAAATTAATATCAGACATATTTGAAGACCAAGGAGAGGGAGTGGTCATAGTGAAACATCCAAACATTTAGTATCTCTGAAAAGCCTTGAAGAATGTGCTCTGTACAGGACATCCAGACTTAAAACTGTGGCATGTATAGTCTCAGAGAAATACACCAAAATATAATGTCCTCATATGAGGTCACAGGGTCTCAGGAGGTTAATAGCAGTTTATTCAAATTAAAATGTTTAATCAAATTTGTGCAGTGTGCACCAAATTTGTGTCTTAGTATGAACAGGCATTTAGTTAGGGACTTGGTCACTCATTCGATTGCTTAGAAAAGTATGCAAACCTTTAAAACACGGTTATTATCATTAACTAAAATTAAACTATTAAAATGTTTTTGGTTAATTGAAATATTAAGATGAAACACTGAGCAAAACTTAAAAATGTTGCCTTGACTAATACTAAAATTACTAACTGGAAATAAATAAAAACAAACCGCAAACGGAAACTGAAATACAAGTAAATTATACCTTAATAATAATATTTAAAACTAATAAAGTGACAAAAGCACTAAAACTATGATTAAAATGAAAACTGAATATAAAAAGTCCAGTTCCACAATGTGATGTAAGACAAGAACAGAGAGAAAAAAAAAAGATCTATGGAAACCTGCATTCTCTCTGGAGAGCAGGAGAACATGCTGGGCACGTTCTGCTTGTATGATAGCACGTGAGGGAAGACTCACACTTTCATCTTAATGATCGCTCTGTGGGTTGTAGGCCCGTGATCAAGTGAAGCCCCTAATAAGCCAACACTGCCTATAAATGGACTAGGTTTAGTTTTTCATCTCCAAATTCAGAGTTACTAGAGAGAAGGAAAAAGCTGACCCTAGATCACTTTTGCAATTTAATCTCGGCTTCCCACACTAAAAAATGTAATTTCAAAACTTACGTTCTTATATAATACCTATGATTGTACCAGTAAACAATTATTTAGGATCTGTGTAATTGTGCAAAAGTGTCTGAACTCACCGCACTCCTTCACAGGCTCGTCAGACCAGTCCTTGCAGTCCTTGATACTGTCGCACACTTTACCGCTATCGATACATTCCCCGCTCTTACACATGAACTTCCGCGGGCCTTCACATTTGGTGGCTGTCAAGGACACAATAAAGAGTTCTTACACTTCTGATCTTTGAGGAGTACCACATAAATACAACTAAATTATGTAGAGTACAAAACATGAAATGCCATTACACAAAACACATTTCAAGCGACACTCGTTGCATGAATGTTCATTTTGCTCTTTGCTGTACAATGACAATAGACAGTGACAAGAGGCCGTCAAGCTCAAAAGAAGTACATAAAAGCACCATAAAAGTAGTCTGTGGAATTTAACACTATACTTCAAATCCTGTAAAGCCAATAAAATAGGTCTGTGTGAGAAATAGACTGAAATATATGGCTTAAGAAGATCTGGAATATAGTAGATGAGGCATATGGACTACTTATTTAATACTTTAATGGGCAGTTCACACAGAATGTTTTTTTCCATTCCAATGAGCTACTTTTCAATTGTTTTTCAACATAAACACACTAGATGGACATGTATGACCATTCCGCTTGAGTCTCTCATTTTATTTTATGGCAACATGGCGGAGGAGGCATTCTGCACTGCACTTTTTAAAAAAACATTCCTGAATGCTTCGTCTCATGTTTTTAAACGCAAAGACGCGTTTTTTTGTGAACCGCCCCTAATGGTGCTTTTTTTTGTCCTTTCTGGCTCTCAACAGCCCCCCGGGTCACTGTACTATATGTTGTGTTTAAAGTCTACATGTTTTTGAAAGAAATCTCTTACCAAGGCTGCGTTTATATGGTTAAAATGACCATAAAACAGTAATATTGTAAAAATTATTGAAATTTTAAAATAACAGTTTTCTGTTTTTATATACAGTAGTCAACATTTGAAGTGGATCAAAAAAGTTCATCAAAGTTGTCCTAAGACAAGAACGCATTTTGGTTTTAGGCCAACATTGATGAAAGGTTTTGATCCACTTCAAATGTTGACTTGTGTATTTTAAAGTGTAATTTATTCCTGTTCATGCAAAGCTGTGTCTTCAGTGTCACATGATCCATCAGAATTCATTCTAATATGGTTAAGTAACATTCATTATTATTATCCATGTTGAAAGCAGCTAATATTTTTGTAGAAACCATGATTGTTTCAGCATTCTTTAATGAATAGAAAGTAAAAATAAAAATCTTTTGTAACATGTCTTGACTGGCATTTAAAAAAAAATAATTTTAATGCATTTTTGTATACTGAACAAAATGCATGAAATCTTTGTTGTTTTAGGACCAACACAAAGAATGCTGATACTATGTTCTACTTAAATCATGTTATGCATCACTAATCAGATACAGCCATGGCATAATAAATCTTTTGAGGTAAATGTGATTGAAGGTGCCATATGGGAAGTGTGCCATGAAACCCTGGAATCATGTAGGGGTGCATCTGTTTGGTCCTGTAGATTGATGAAAGGTTTTGATCCACTTCAAATGTTGACTTGTGTATTTTAAAGTGTAATTTATTCCTGTTCATGCAAAGCTGTGTCTTCAGTGTCACATGATCCATCAGAATTCATTCTAATATGGTTAAGTAACATTTATTATTATTATCCATGTTGAAAGCAGCTAATATTTTTGTAGAAACCATGATTGTTTCAGCATTCTTTAATGAATAGAAAGTAAAAATAAAAATCTTTTGTAACATGTCTTGACTGGCATTTAAAAAAAAAATAATTTTAATGCATTTTTGTATACTGAACAAAATGCATGAAATCTTTGTTGTTTTAGGACCAACACAAAGAATGCTGATACTATGTTCTACTTAAATCATGTTATGCATCACTAATCAGATACAGCCATGGCATAATAAATCTTTTGAGGTAAATGTGATTGAAGGTGCCATATGGGAAGTGTGCCATGAAACCCTGGAATCATGTAGGGGTGCATCTGTTTGGTCCTGTAGTGCTTTGTGTGAATGTTAACTTGATTGGGGCTACAGGATTGGGTGCTCTCTACTCTTTCATCTTCACTGATAATGCTGCTAGAAGAGGATAGAGATGAAGAGGCTAATCAAATGAGAGATAGCGAAAGGGAGATTGTTGAAGTTACTCACTTTTGTTGATGCAGGCAGCCTCGTCGCTGAAATCTGGACAGTCGTGCACTTTGTTACACTGTTTAGTGCCGTGAATGCAGGAGCCATCGCCACACTGGAACTCATCAGGACGGCAGGTCAGCACAGCTGTTGGACAGAAACACACGTTTATGTAGGACAATCATTCCTGCATCTACATACATCAGTCTGGCCAATGAATAGATCAATATTTGGTCATTTTGAGATGGTCAAATAAACTGAAAACTGCAGAGCAGTTCATGATTTACTGATTCCCAGAAGTGGCCATTTCATCTGTCAATTCCAAAATCTAATGACATCCTTGTCAATGGATAGTGCACATGCTCCGTTTTTAAACATGTGTAGTTCATTTTCAGTAAATGATGATAAAATAAATAAAAAAGATAGTATGCAAGATATTATAAATGTATAAAAATTATATAAATGCTAAATAATATTACATATCTATAAAAAAAACTTTAATTTATTACCCAGCTCTCTAGACATCAGTATTAGCATCACCCATTAAAACACACATTGGTTTATCACAAATGTATAATTTAAATGTCACTTTGAATAAAAGATTCTGCAAAGTAAAGGACTAAGATAAAGTCACGAGCTGTTAAAGCTGTTAAAAACATGCATACTATAGCACTCACCATCACACTTTCATAATAATCACCCATTGCACCTCTGTGTGAGCGCTTTAGCTATGAAACAGCAAAAGGTTTTGGCTTTTTTCCTCCTGTCAGATCTCAAAGTAATAGCTTATTTGCAAGAGAGTTTCCTCAGGAAAAAAAGCTCTGAACATTAAAAACAATCAGTCACTTACTCTGGGGCATAAGGTAACACACTGAAGAAAGAAAAATATGCTATCCGGCAAATAAAGGTTTTTAATTTTTCACATTCATCTTTTAAAATCCCTTTAATCTTTCATACGGTGTACTTTAGAGGAGCTGCGGAGGAAAAACATTCACGTGATCAATTTGACCTATATTTTTTGCCCTTTTTTCCAGTAAAAATAAATAACCCACCTTAAAACTAAAAATATTCTCTTGAGAGGCAAAATTGCATGCAATATTAGTTTATTAGTTAAATTCTATATGTATGCATTAACTGTATCTGTTATATCACCTCCAGTATGGCTTTTGAACTGTTACTTGGTGGAAACATAGTTTGTTATTATTCATATATGTAATAATTTATTAAACATTGGAGTGTTTAATCATATTGCCATTGCAGTCATTTTATTAAAGCGGTAAGCATGCAGTGCTGTTATCATTAACTAAAACTAATACTATTAAAAATGTTGTTCAACGAAATAAAGCGGAAATAAAATATTAGATGCAATACTTAAGCCACACAACAATTTAAAATTAAGTTGAACTGCAGGACTGAAATAAAACTAAAACTGAAAATGAATTGAACAAACTATTTTCAAATATTTTTAAACAAACAAAAACTAATAAAAATGACAAAACACATAACAAAATTGCTAAAAATCAAAATCAAAATGAAAATTAAAAATAAAAGCCGATTCAAAAAGATTTACTAAACAGGGCAAAGTACCGTTAGAGTACTCTCTTCCCATAAATTTTGAGTTTGAAAGGTAAACTCCTACATATGCATATTCAATAAGGTTAGGTGCAAAATTAACTGTGTCCAAGCCTTTTCAGCGCTAATTCACTGCGTGTCTTTAGTAAATCCTGACAGTACTATTTTAACGGCAAAAGACGGTTTGCACTGACGCAAGCTGTTAGTAAATCTGGCCCTATATATAGGGTCTTATTTATAGTCTAATGAAATATAATGCAAAATGACCAAAATATGATTTTAACAGATACAAGTATTTTGAGGACGGTGCACAATCCCCTGCAAGAACCCTACAGTGAGACCAGACTCACAGAGCGCTTACTCAAGGGCACTCTGCCATACCTCAAAACACACTTGTTGCCTAGCAACCACCAAGACTCCAGCATTTTATCATGCCGCTACCACAGTAGTTCGTGAAGATTTACATGTCATAAACCCATGGAAAAAAACATCATCTCAATAAACACACACATGCTAGAACAAACTGTACACATGTGTGTGCACACGCTCTGCACCAACAACGCACAAGCAAACAAAGAGTATTCAGCTGCAGGTTTTGTTTTTTCAGGATTACATGTGCTCAAACAAACACATACTCTCCAATCCAATTATTGAAATGTAAAGTTAAAGTCCCCATGAAATCAAAATTAAAGTTTTTTGGGAGTTAGTATCAATATGTTAGTCTTAAGTTTATCTATAAGGCAGTGTGCTCCAAAACAGTGACAAAATTCGCATTTAGAAGATATAAGCATTCAAAGCTTGCAGTTCCTCACTTCCGCCAAAACGGCTCAATGATTTTTTTGACATCACATTATACTTCAGCTTCTCATCAAACTTTCCGTCCAATCAAATGCTCTCTAGAATCCGAAGCGCCCGCCCCCTACACTATAAAATAGACGCTGAAGCCGCGGCTCAAATCGGTCACTTGTCCACAGAATTAGTATTTTCTGTACAGTGAATGGCACGTAGTGCACTATATAGGGGACAGGGAACGATTCAAACAGTGTAAATATGCTTTCCATTGTGGAAAAAAATAAGTCTGGTTTCGCGCTGTCACGCTAACCACACGCACACACACTCTGCTCCGGTCCAGAGACACGATAGCACGGAGCGGATCACATGCGCGAGTCGGCGCAGACCACAAAATGTATCTGAGCTTTTTGAATTCTACCAGAATTCTATATTTTATAGCAATATGGATGAGATTGTGGCTGGCATACCCTGTCAAATGCGGCTTTACGGAGCTCAACGGCTCTAGCCCAAGCTGCGATATAAACGAACGCTATTGGCTATTTTAAAAAGGGGTGGGGCTGCTTGATATGTCCCGCCCTGTCTTCCAGTTTCAGTTAAAATGACGTCAACACAGAGTAACGCTGCGTGTTTCTAAGCATTTCAGGGGACCTTTAATAAACATTCATGCTCACCGACTCTGATTCTATTGTACTGTATATAAATCAATCAAAAAAAAACCTTAAATGACATGCTAATTAATTACTCCGATTACATTTATACATCAACATTTGCTGAAAAAAAAAAAACACTAAATGAAGATTTTTCAAAGACAATTAGTCTAATTATTGTGGCAGACAAAGCATTGAAGTCATTGGCATTAGAAGTCAATACAAAGTGCAGTATGTTCAAAACGGTAGTAGTTTATTTTTTTAACAATAAATTGTATTAAATGAACATGTTAAAATTAGACCGCTCCAATTATATATACTGTAACAGATTGAAATCAACTTAATTGTAATAGTTTTTTTAATCTATTGTATTTTGTGCATTTTTGATACTGCATCAGAGTATATTTTGTATTCAGAGTATATATTTTTTTTCCAGTATTTTGAGTACGTTTTATTATGTTATCATTGTAAGCAAAATCGATACGCTGACCTTGTAAGACCAACCAAGTTAACCAAGTTAATTTATGTTGACATGCGTGCAAAGCATTTGTGTTAACAGAATTAGGAGGAGCAGACAATAGGGGACTGATTCTAAATGAACAACCATGTGTTTCACTGCTTTACTAGATCGTGACAGTAATTTAGAATGAGTGTAATGACAAGAACAGCATGCATGCAGCATTAAGAAGAGCATGTAATGCAGCCAAGTGATAAAACTGATTATTAATTCATTTAATTAACTAAATGAATCAATTAAATCACTACACAGCAAGTCTCTCCAATGTAAATACCTTAGGAAACACGTGCTTGAGAATGATAACTGTGATCAGTATATTAAGAGTATTTAGTCTTCTTGCACACTTACGGCAGTTGGCCTCATCAGACTTGTCCTTGCAGTCTACATCTCCGTCGCATTTCCAGTTGAGGTGAATACACTCTCCACTCCTGCACCGGAACTCCCCCGCCGGGCAATGGGGTTTTTGAGGCTCCGTCCTGCGACTGCAGCGCTCTAGAGATTCATCCGACTTGTCTTTGCAGTCGGGGTCTCCGTCGCAGCTCCATGGCGCTGGAATACACTCAGAGTCATTACAGCGAAACTCGTGCGACCCGCAGGTGCTGGCGGTGGCTGCCGTGCACTTCTCCTCATCGCTGCCGTCGCCGCAGTCATCATCCCCATCGCAGACGAACGTGGGAGCCACGCACAGGCGGTTATGGCACTGGAACTCTTTAGCAGGGCAAGCCTTGGCATCTGGAAAAAAGAATGTACTTTATTAAAGAGTCTTGCAGTCCCTCAAATACATATGTAAAAAAAATTACTTGAACAGTAAATAGTTGATAGCTGAACCTTTAACTACTGCATGCGAATACAAACATTTGAACTTTTCTCCTTTTTTTGTATTATTCATAACAAGCATTTTTTGTCTCCTGTGTTTCCAACTTTTTTGTGCACTTTTTTTTTAAACATAAAAATATATGAGAAAAAGCTAGCATTTTATCATTGTTCATATCTTCTTGGCATTGTACATATTTACATTTTATTCTAAAATGGTTTATTTAAAAGATAAAGTTGTCGTGTTAGGCAACAACTCTTTTCCCCATCATATTTTCCCATATTGGTAGTAATAAACTGATCCATGAATAAAAAAAACCCTGATTCATAATGACATTTTCATCACCTAGGAAGTAAAATCATTAAGGATAAAGTAGACAAGTCTCATTTTATAATATTTTTTGTATTTGTCATTTGGAGGTTATTTTAAAGTCAACCATAATAATTTTGCATAAATAAAAATTTAAATATAAAATTGAAAAGTGAATATTTGTAGAAATATCAGTATTAAATTCTCTTTTAAAAAAAGAGAATATATTATTAGTTTTATATAATTTTAATAAATGAAAATGGTCATCTTATGTTACACCAACTCCAATTTATTCGTAATATACATTAAACTGTAATGTAAAATACATACTTTTTAAAAATGATCATTCTCCTTTTTTTGTATTATTCATAACAAGCATTTTTTGTCTCCTGTGTTTCCAACTTTTTTGTGCACTTTTTTTTTAAACATAAAAATATATGAGAAAAAGCTAGCATTTTATCATTGTTTATATCTTCTTGGCATTGTACATATTTACATTTTATTCTAAAATGGTTTATTTAAAAGATAAAGTTGTCGTGTTAGGCAACAACTCTTTTCCCCATCATATTTTCCCATATTGGTAGTAATAAACTGATCCATGAATAAAAAAACCCTGATTCATAATGACATTTTCATCACCTAGGAAGTAAAATCATTAAGGATAAAGTAGACAAGTCTCATTTTATAATATTTTTTGTATTTGTCATTTGGAGGTTATCTTAAAGTCAACCATGATAATTTTGCATAAATAAAAATTGAAATATAAAATTGAAAAGTGAATATTTGTAGAAATATCAGTATTAAATTCTCTTTTAAAAAAAGAGAATATATTATTAGTTTTATATAATTTTAATAAATGAAAATGGTCATCTTATGTAACACCAACTCCAATTTATTCGTAATATACATTAAACTGTAATGTAAAATACATACTTTTTAAAAATGATCATTGATAATTATTAAATGATTATAATTATTTAGTAATGTTAAATTACATTGTAAAAATGATTATAAATAATTATTATTATCTATTCAATAGAATGTTTAACATTTTGTAAAATTAGCTTTATCAAATTTCTATTCAGAAAAAAAACAAAGCTCTATGCCTTCACGTTTGCTGTTCTTTTATTATCCTCCTGACCTGGCTTTTTACTATTTTGAACGATGACTGAAACCTTGTATAACGGGCATTTCTCGTGTTTACTGCCATCTTATGATAAATCACTTGTATTCCACAACTGTAAGATGCTTTGGATAAAAGCGTCTGCTAAATGAATACATGTAAATGTATTAAATTAGTGAGGGAAAAAACTATGGGTTTCTGTTTAACAATGTCACATCACCAAACCTATGAAATACCATTACAGTAAAATGACTGAATCACACTTCTCACTGGAAATTTATGGCAAATGTCGCATGAGCTCTGAGCTATTCTGTGCTCATGTGAGCTCCGTGACCTCACTGATTCAACTGTGCTGCGGATGACCTGAGGTTCACACTTTAGCCCCACACTGGAGGCAGACACTAAATGGGCTTAACTGTACTGTAGTAAACGCCTGTCCATTCTTTAATGGGGTCACCCACCCCACCCGAATAACCATCCTGAAGAGCTGCAAGGCGATTGGGTATTACATTCACGGAGGCTAGTTTTGTAAAAGGATTTGAAATGGCTTACGAGCATGTGATCGGGTATGAATGCGTTTGAGCAGATGGGATATGAAAGAAATCGATCCTGACTTTTTGTGACTTTGCGTCGATAAACCTGTAAATATGCAAACTATTTGCAAAGAGCAGCTGGGGCTCATAAAACACTTTCACCGTCAAAACGGTGACATTATCAAAATTGTATTGCCGGACTCTAAATCAATGTTATTTGTGCTGCTCACAGAAAGGTCATTCTTGTTGTTCATTGCACTTTAGCTGATTTGCATTTCATATTTCTGCCACCTACGCTGGTTGCTTTTGAAGCCAATTACAATAATGCTCAATGAGATATGATGCTAATTGTGTTTTTGCAAAGCTGATTAGCCAACAACGATCTAAAAAAAATAAAAAACTAATCAACAAGGTCCATTAGGAAAGCAAACTCTGCAACTGCTGTCAGCCACTCAAAGGTCTCTTCAATGACTATCGAATAGCTGAGGGGAACGGGTGGAACAACATCTTCTGGAATGATCTTTTGACAAATTTAACATTAATTTGTAGATATTATATAGCTACATAATTTCTCCACCCTCAAGGTCAAGGCAGCCAACAAACGTAGCATGTTGTTAAAAGAAAGTGACATGATTGGATCTTTTTTGTGTGTACAGTGTATGGGCAGGAAGGTTGTGTTTGCTCTAAGCAGGGGGAGATGATTGGCTGAACCTTCTCTTCTCTTGTGGGACAAGAAGAGCAGTAGTGAAAATGAAAAGGTGCTTGGCCTGTGATGTAGACAGCAGCTTAAAACAACATCCTCTCAGAGAGGAACAGAACAAACATGGACCACCAGTGAACTCAGACTGACTGTCATATTCCAGCTGGAATGAAAATCAAATCATCCAGCTCTATACACTTGCAGAAGGCGTGAATTGGATGTATAAAATAAATTCACATACTAAATTAATCTATACTTAAGAATGATTAGTAGGCCTGTCACGATAACAGCTTTTTGATGTGCGATATATTGCCCCAGAAATAATTGCGATAAGCGATATTATTGTCATTTTAAAGACCATTTTATGCCACTGAATATATAATAATAATGTAACAGCATAATAATGCAAGAAGGCCCACACACTTCCAAATGACAACACACTTTTAATTTTTAAGAATATTTAGATCATGGATCTAAAACCTGAATAAATGGTAAATAAACATTTTCTAACAAAAAGTGTAAAGTAACAAGTAGAAAAAAAGAAAAAGGCACAAAGAACTTGTATGGAGATTTTTTCATCTACAGATTTTTCCTGGACTTTCTTTTCTCTGTACATTAAGGGTGCACACTATTGCTGAAAAACACAATCACTGCTTAGCATTCAGATGCCCATATGCACAAAGGCACAGATCCCTAAACAAGGCCATATCTGCTGATGAAACTTTTTTTGTAGAAGCATTTTTTAAATTTGAACTAGCACTTCATGACTATACCACGTTATGTACAAGAAGCTGCAAAAGACACAGGCGGAAGTGGAATGTACAAAACATGGTGACATTACTTTTTAAGTAAATATAATGGGCGATATATTGCGTCACCAAAAATTATTGAGGTCATGTACATACATTGCGAGATAAGTCAATATATTGATTATTGCGACATGCCTAGTGATTAGCGGTGCTTGCTAAGTGTTACATTGAAGAAGGGACCCGAACCATTTCTGGGGACAAGAATAGGGTTGTTTACTTGGGCAAGTAAACCACCACTCAAAATATCTAAACAACCATCTTGAAATGCCCTAACAACCAACAAGAACATCCTAGAAACTGCAACTCATGTTGCTTTGAGTTTTTTAAAACACCCTACCTTATGAAAATGAACCATGGTTTTACTACAAACAAAGCCCCCCCCAAAAAAACATGGTTATTGTAGTTAAATCAAGGTAACAACAAAATAACCATGGTTTGGCTACATTAATCATAGTTTAACCATGGTATTTGTAGGAAAACTGTGGTTATGAAAATAGTAATCAATCCGCCAAAAAAAGAAAGAAAAAAAAAGAAAAGAAATTAGCACCCATATGCTATTTAACATTTAGCATGTTAGCATCTTTATCTCTTTCATTAGCAAGGACTAAAATGTTCTTCAGAAAAATTCATTTCTAAGTATATTAACATGAGCATCCGAAACAGTTGTGCAGAAAACACAATCACTGCTTAGCATTCAGATGCCCATATGCACAAAGGCACAGATCCCCAAACAAGGCCATATCTGCTGATGAAACTTTTTTGTAGAAGCATTTTTTAAATTTGAACTAGCACTTCATGACTATACCACGTTATGTACAAGAAGCTGCAAAAGACACAGGCGGAAGTGGAATGTACAAAACATGGTGACATTACTTTTTAAGTAAATATAATGGGCGATATATTGCGTCACCAAAAATTATTGAGGTCATGTACATACATTGCGAGATAAGTCAATATATTGATTATTGCGACATGCCTAGTGATTAGCGGTGCTTGCTAAGTGTTACATTGAAGAAGGGACCCGAACCATTTCTGGGGACAAGAATAGGGTTGTTTACTTGGGCAAGTAAACCACCACTCAAAATATCTAAACAACCATCTTGAAATGCCCTAACAACCAACAAGAACATCCTAGAAACTGCAACTCATGTTGCTTTGAGTTTTTTAAAACACCCTACCTTATGAAAATTAACCATGGTTTTACTACAAACAAAGCCCAAAAAAAAAAAACATGGTTATTGTAGTTAAATCAAGGTAACAACAAAATAACCATGGTTTGGCTACATTAATCATAGTTTAACCATGGTATTTGTAGGAAAACTGTGGTTATGAAAATGGTAATCAATCCGCCAAAAAAAGAAAGAAAAAAAAAGAAAAGAAATTAGCACCCATATGCTATTTAACATTTAGCATGTTAGCATCTTTATCTCTTTCATTAGCAAGG